CTGCTGCCTTCAAAGGGAATAAGGTAGTTCTTGGAGCCCTGTGGGAGTCAGACATTTTGACACTGCGGTCCAGTGCCTGAGGTGCTAGTAGAGGAGAGCTTCATCTTGGCTCATGGCTGCAAAAATTTTGGTCCTTTGAGTGAGAGAGAGCATCATGGTGGTGGGAACATGCTAAAGCAAACCAGCTTCCTTCATGGCAGACAGGAAGTTAGAGCCACAGAGAAGGGCTAGGGACAAGTATGCCCTTCAAAAGCGGGTCTCCCAGTGACCACCACCTCCTGTTAATAATACCATCAAATTACAAATCCATCAGTGAGCTAAGCCCTCCATGAACTCAGAACCCTCCTGGTCCAGTTGCCGCTCTGTAGCACCCTGATAGCGCTCTACTAATTCCTATAAAAGGGAAATGGGACCTTGCATGATGTCTGCAGGCATTTTAGGCTACGGTGTCCACTTACATGTTGGTATGTTAATGCCGAGCCCTCGGATCCTGCCATTTACTAATGCTATCTATTGAGTCCCCGCCCCCCCCCTTTTTTAATGCCAGTAGCAGGGATTGAACACAGGCCTTGAGCACCGTCCCAGAGCTTTTGTGCTCAAGGCTAGCACTCTGCCACCATTTCCAGCTTTTTGGTGGCCAGTTGGAGATTAAGAGTTTCATAGAACTGGGCACAGATGGCTCACGCCTGTAATCCTAGCTACTCACGAGGCTGAGATCTGAGGATCACAGTTCAAAGCCAGCCTAGGCAAGAAACGCGTGAAATTCTTATCTCCAATGAATCACCAGAAAACCGGAAGTGGCACTATGGCTTAAGTGGTTGAGCGCAAGCCTTGAGGGACAGCACCTTGGCCCAGAGTTCAGGCCCCACAACCGGACACCCCCCACCCCCCAAAACAAAATGAAAAGAAAGAAAGTCTCATAGACTTTCTTGGTCCACAATCCTCAGATCTCAGCCTCCTGAGTAGCTAGGATTACAGGCGTGAGCCACTGCTGCTCAGTTTCCTTTTATCCCCAGCTCATACAGTACTCCACATGCTTCTATCCTGCAGGTCAATTTTAGGAGCTCTAAAGCTCTCAAAGTTGATGTCTTCCTGTTTAAAAAAAATTTACTAGTGTAGAAAAGATATTTTCTATAAGCATTTGAACAAGAGATTATACTTGAAGATGAAGTTTTTAAGACGGGAGACCCAGTTTGACATTATTAGCTAGACTCCAAGCATCTGCTTGCAAGCTGCCGCTCTCGGATGCCAGTCACTGCCCAGGACAGAAAGAAAATGGTGTGGGCACTGCTGTGGTCACGCTGAGAGCTCCTGGCCTCTGTTGGGCCTGGCATTATTACTAAGATGTGTGTGATATGTTCACCAAAGGCTCTTCTTTCGCAGCAAAGGACCCATTTAACTGTTAAATCTCCCTCTTCTCATGAACTGTCCATAAAAGACAGCCATTGTATATTGATTTCTTTCTGCTTGTTTAGATTTTTAGAGTTGAGCTATAAAAGTCTCGTTTCTCAGTCTGTAAATCTAGATGAAGTTATCCAGTTCCTTCATTCCAGGAATTCCTTGGGAAACGGGTATGCCTGCCAGCCAGGCTAGTCATTGGTGGCTCATTTTTGTACGAATAGATGATGTTGAGAACTGTGAGAAAGGACTGTGAAACTGGAATTTGGTCTCACCCCTCCCCACCCCCCTTTTTTTTGGTGCCAGTTCTGGGACTTGCACTCAGGGGCCTGGGCACTGTCCCTCAGCGTTTTTGCTCAAGGGTAACACCCTACTTGAGCCACAGCACCCCTTCTGGCTTTTTTGGTAGTTGATTGGAGATAAGATCTTGACAGACTTTCTTGTACAGGCTGGCTTTGAACTGTGATCCTCAGATCTCAGCCTCTTGAGTAGCTAGGATTACAGACATGAGCCACTGGCATCTGGCTGGTCTTCCCTTTTAAACAAAAAATAAAAAGGAGTTCTTCTGTAACTTCTCATTTCCTTACACATTTTTATAAAATTCTTATTAATAGCTAGATATTGACTGAGTTACCATGGTGAGAGGGAGTCTATGAGTAAGTGGTTTGTGTCAGCTGGCCATGTAGCTCTTTAGAGACTGACGTGAGGACTTGCACCCAGGACCAGGGACTCCATGGAGCAGCTCATTGTACCCTTGTGTCGGCCTAGCTAGAGATGATGGCATGAACAGTGGCTAAAATGGGCCATGATCACAAAAAGTTGTCATGTTCAACACTACCATATTCTCATTGGCTTCTTTGGCCCTTTGGGGACAGGCTGATGGACATGTCCCTTCTTGAACTTGTCAGGCCTCAATTCTAACCATCAGCCGGGTTACTAATTAGTTCCTAAACGCTGCATGCTTACAGAGGGGAGACGAGGATGGAAACAGGAACTGTGGACAGTGATGTCTTTATAATATTTGCCTTCTGGTGTTTGATCTACATGATGGAGTTTGATTCTTCTTATCAGTGCATCGTTAGGAATCTACTAGACAGTGAAGAGATACTGAGGCATAGGATTCTAAGCTCTTTGGGGGTAGAAACTGGGTTTCTTGCCTATATCTAATCTTTCCTTCCCCTTCATGACATGGAGCTCATGAACAGCGGACAGTGACTGCATACTGGGAACTTTGCTAAGAACTATGGGAATATAAAGATGAATAAGTCGTCACATATTAATTGGGGACAGAGACTCAGTTGGAAATGTAACTTGCATTTATTCATTCCTAAAAAGTTGTTTAGCCTATGGGCCCCACGGGATAGAGGATAAAGTCTGGCCTTTTGCCTTCTATGTGGGGATAATGTAGATGTGAGTCTGCATAAAGTGCTGCAGAATTGTACAAGAAAGCCATGCTGGGTGCTGGAGGCCGAGATTGGAGGATCGAGGTTCAAAGCCAGCCAGGACAACAAAGTTATAAGACTTTATCTCCAGTAAACCAGCACAAAACTGGAAGTAGAGCTGTGGCTCAAGTGGTAGAGTGCCAGTCTTGAGTGAAATAAGTCAAGAAAGAACACAAGGTCCTAAGATTAAGCCCTAGTATTGATGTGTCCCCACACATACAGCCAGCCAAAAGCTGTAAATGCTGTAGGGGAGAAGAAAGGCACAGAGTCATGATTTTAACTGTCATTTAAAACAAAACAAAACAAAATGAACAATCCTCAGCCAGGCACTGGCAGCTCATGCCTGTAATCCTAGTCCTAGCTACTCAGGAGATCTGAGGATCATGGTTTGAAGCCAGCCTGGGCAGAAAAGTCCATGAGACACTTATTGCCAGTTAACCACTCAAAAGCTGGAAGTGGCACTGTGGCTCAAGTGGTAGAGCATTAGCCTTGAGTTCAAGCCCCACAACTAAAGAAAAAAAACAAAAAACGCTGGAATTGTGAGCTGAAATCTACATTTTCACCAAAACCACAAATAAATGTCTGTATCTGCTTTAGTCCTAACTACCAAAACTTGAAAGCCACCAAGATGTCCTGTAGTAGGTGAATTTAGAAACTTTGGGACACCCAGGCAACAGAGTATTCTTCATCAATAAAAGAAAGTGAGGCCAGATGCCATGTGCATCATACCATGTGGATCATCCTAGCTACCCAGGAAGCTGAGATCTGAGGATCATGGTTCAAAGCCAGCCTGGATGGTAAAGTCAAATGAGACTCTTACCTCCAATTAACCACTAAAAAGCCCGTTGTGGAGTGTGGCTCAAGTGATAGAGCACTAGCTCTGAGCACAAAGCTCAGGGATAGCTCCCAGACCAAGTTCAAGCCCCAGAACTGGCACAAAATAAAGAAATGAAGGAAGGGAACCATGCAATGACAGAGCATCCCCACCAGCAAGTGAAAGGAGTCGGTCTGGAAGAGCTGTGTGCCTTAATCCTAATTTCCAGCAAGACCTCTACAACAGCTGCAGAGACAGTAAGGAGGTAGGTGGGGGAAATGAGGCAGGGCATAGAGAACTCGGGGTGTGTGTGTGTGTGTGCGCGCGTGCGTGTGTGCGTGCGTGCACACGCGCACGCGCACTTGCGCCTGCACATGCACATGCATGTTGATCCTGGGGCTTGAACTCAGGACCTAGGTGCTGGCCTTAGGCTTTTTTGTGGAAAGTTAGCATTCTACCACTTGAGCTACAACTCCACTTCCAGCTTTTTGGTGGAGATCAGAGTCTCACAGACTTTCCTGTCTGGGCTGGTGTTAAATTACCTTGATCCTCAGATTATAGCCTCCTGAATAGGTAGGATTATAGGCGTGAGCCACCAGGACATTCTTCTTCTTCTTCTTCTTCTTATCATCATCATCATCATCATTATTATTGTGACATACAGAGGGGCTACTGGTATATAGGTCAGGTAATGAGTATATTTCTGTTAGGACAATGTCACCCCTTCCTTCACTCTCAGTTTCCTTCCTGTCCCCACCCACAAGTTGTACAGTTCATTTTCAACATAGTATCCAATGAGTACACTATTGCATTTGTTCACCTTTTCTGTCCCCTCTGCCCCGCCCCCAGCTTACTGTGGAGGACTTTCAAGGGGGAACTAATTTCCTGTGACACGTGTGTTCTCTCTGGCATGGTAGTAGGAGAGCCATGTCTCTCTTCATTGGTCAGTACCCACTGAACTTTCCAGCACAAGGAGCAAACCCAGTACAGGTAAAACTTACTGGTGTTGGGTGCCAGTAATATCTTAGAACAGGCTCAACACTGATTACAAATCTGCCACACTGCTGTGAGGCAGTGATGGGGTATGGGAGGGCATGGAAACTGACTTGCAAAACCAAAAGCTGTAACTATACAAGGGAAGGAGGGCAGGGACAGGGGTGGCAGGGAGCTGTATGCAGGTTTGGGGACAGCAGAAGGGCTGCAGAGGTGTGGCGGGGCCTGGGCTCGGGTTCAAGCTGGGGTTAGTGGCAAGCTGTGTGCTGTGTGGGGCACAGACTCGGGGACTCAGTGGCCTGGCACGTTGTCACTGACGTAGAAGTCATAACCCCGCTTGTTTCTCTTCCCAGCAAAGGGCTCCGGGGAAGGTGCTGCTGGATGCCGTGTGCAGCCACCTCAACCTTGTGGAAGGCGACTATTTCGGCCTCGAGTTTCCTGATCACAAGAAAATCACGGTAGGAGACACCAGCTTCGTGGTCACCTTTCACTGCCAGTCCATCGGGGAAAGGGGGACCATCAGCTGCTGGACGGCTGCCCCATCTGCATGTCCAGAGCGAATGCTGTGAGGGGCCACCGTCTCCACCACCCCTCCCTCCCCTTCCAGCCAGCACCACTTCCCCACAAATGCACACACTCCTGAGATCTCTGGCAAGAGTGTGTGCAAATGTATCCCACACTTGTGCTTCAGAATGCACAAGCGTGAGGAAGCAGTGTGTATGTTATGTTTTTCACCGTGTGGTCACTGTTGTGTCGATGTAGTAATGAGCCAGGCTGGAATAGCGCCAGGGCAGAGCCTGTGACAGACTTCCATCGGGGGAGGCTTGGGGGCTTTGAAAGCTACAAGCCACTTCTGTGCTCAGGAGACTTCAGGTGTTACCAAGTGGAGTCTCAGACTATCAGGCTTTAATAGGACATTGCAAGGAGAAGGTGCAGCTCATACACAAAGTCTGGAAAGCAAGCGGCGTATTCAGGAACCTGCAGGAAAAGCCAGAATTGAAGAGTTGGGGGCGGAGGGCATTATGGAGAGAGAAAAGAATGAAAGGTAAGCAAGCCACAGCGCCAGGGCTCCTCTTCCAAGCAGCCATGTGCATAACATGAACTATTATATACATATATATATGCATCATTTTAATACATCATCCAAACAAGTTGGATAGGCTCTTGCCACGCATCCTGCCAAGTCTCTGAACCCTGTGTGTATCTGACTTGCAGCCCCCATGGGATGTCAGTGGGTTTCAGAGTGATGGGATATGATCTGACGGGAGTGAGCATTGCGAGGGTTAGGCCGGATGCAGGACTGGATCGGACTCAGGGAGTGCTGGGGTGGGGCGTGGGGCGCAGGATTCTAGAGACTGAGCTTCTGAGGGACAGTCTGGCCCAGAGCTGTCCATGTCCCAGCCGTGTCCAGCAGCTGGGAGAGGAGAGACTGGACCTCGCGCAGGTGCAGGTGACGGGTCTCAGAGGTGAGGAGGGGTGCGGGTGGCAGAGGGCAGCACGCAGATGTGGGGTTCCCAGAGTGCAAGCAAGAGACCTGTGTGGAAATGTGGATTCTAGAAGAGTGTACTTTGGGCTTTGAAGCGCTGCATGAGGAGGGAGTGTGAGAAGGGTCAGTGGGTGGATTGCTGCACTGAAGGACAGACAGAAGGCAGAGCCCTCCATGAAGATGGCAGATGGGGGTGGAAAAGCACAGAGGGAAAAGTCCAGGACTAGGAAGGAAAACAGCTCTTGGAGGGAACAGGGGCTGGGCCCGGTTCCTGCCTCCAGCGCCAGAGCCACAGTGTGCCAGGAGCTAAAGCCCAGTGCAGCCTGTGTTCTTACTGTCATTTCCTGGTCTGTACAGTCAACCTAAGCCTCCCTGACTTTCAGTTCCTTTATCCTTTCTTCTTCCTTACCTCCCTCTTTTCTTCCTTCATTCCTTCTTTTGTGATTGTACTAGGGACAGAAAGGATTTCACATTTGCTAAGTAGGCATTGGTGATGCTAATGGAGTCTCATTTCCAGCCCAGTATGTACTGGACCATAATCCGCCTATTTGGGGCTTCCCATCATTACTGGGATGACAGGCCGGTGCTGCTGTGTCCGGCTGCACTCCGTGGAGGTCTCTTGGTCTTTCCTGCCTAGGCTAGCTTACAGCCATGCTCCTCCCTTTCAGAGCTTCCCAAGAAGCAGAGCTTACAGGTGGGGGCCACTGGCCCCCAGCTCCCCTCGTCCTTTTTCTGTTGTGGCAGATGTCCACACACCTGGCAGGTCTAAGGCCCAAAGGACTTGATTGTTGTTTGGCACTGACACCATGTGAGGCAGCACAAGTAGAATGGAAGAAGATGGCAGGAGGTAGTTAGGAGTCAGAGCTATACAGACAGCCTGGTAATGGGGTCCAAGAAAAACAATTTCCAAGTAGTCAGAATATTGCATGTAACTCTTGTTTCAGAGGCTCACGTAGATAACATTATCTTATTATTTCTAACAAGCCATGAAGTGCTGCAAGCTTCCCATGGCTTCTTACCCCAGACATGTCCATTTGCTCTCCAGCCAGAGCACCTGTCCAAACCAGAAGGCAGGAGTGGTATTTGGACTTTGTGGTGGAAGGAACGAAGATTCTAGGAATTGCTCTATGCCTGGGGTCATCAAATAGCTAATGACAGAGCCACGATTCTTACTCTGTCCTTCTGATGCCAGGCTCAGTGCTTTGCTATGAACCAGAGGACTTCTCATTTGCCAGGCTCTAGGCTCCTACCTATTTTTCTTGGTTATATTTGATTTTGTTTGTCGGTCCTGGTGGAGGAACCCAGGGCCTCAAGCTTGTGACTGCCACTTCGACCGTACTTGTCTTGTGTTAGAGACAAGGTTTCACTACTTATTCCCCTGTGCTGGCCTCGATCTTCCTACCTCCTCTTCTTGAGTAACTGGGAAAGCATAGATTCAACCATAAAATAAAGAAACCCCCATGATCAAGACATTAAAAAATTGGTGCTGGTCCTATGTAATACAAACAGAAATGTTGTCTGTGATAGGTGTATGTCAATCCTGGTTCCTGGCTTTGATCTCCAGCATACTTTTCTCACACCCCAAATAATCCAACTGACACCACACACATAAGCCACCATGAGAGCTCTTGCAGTGAGGCCTCAGTGTTGCAGCCCCTGGGCCACCAGGGCCGCATCATCCATTCCTCTCCTCATCAAGCTTATACCCCAGAGCAAGACCAACAGACCTGTCTGGAAAAGGCCAGATGGTAAATGCTACATATCGAATCTGAAGGCTGCAAAGGCTCTGCTGCAGCTATTTAAACCTGCTACTACAGAGCAAAAGCAGCCATAAATATGCAAAGGAACGGGCATGAATTTGTTCCAATAAAACTTTATTTGTAACACATGAAGCTGTAGGTTGCTTGTTTCCTTCCATTCCCAAGGGAGCCTTCTACCCCTGAGCCTTACCTCCAGCCCAGAGCATTTTGTTTTCCCATTAAAGGAAGCCAGGCACTTTCCATAGTTTAAGTTGTGTTTCTCAAGGTTATGCATGAGTGAGAGGTAATCATTAAATAAACACTTGTACTGAGCCCTTCATTAGACTTGTCCAGAGCATCCAATTATTACAGGTGATTGTCATGTGTCCAGCCAGTGTGACTGCTGTCCTGGGGAGCAGGCGCCATCCTTAGAGGATCTCTCTAGAGCAGAGGAATCTGTTCATCAGTTTTTCTTTTCTTTTGCCTTCCATTCAGTGTGGCCTTGAGTGCCAGGAATGCTATTGGTCATAAGCATGGAGACGATGCACTTAATGTGCCAGGTGATTGGTGCACAAGGCCTAGGGCTGCTAAATGGCCAGAGAGCACAGGGAATTCTATGTAAAGGGACTTAGGAGACATCCTGTTAGCACTGGACATTCAAGCCCAAAGTTGAGACCTAGTAAGGAAGGGGGCTAAGTGGAGGCTGACTGTAGTCTGGTCTAGGGTAGAGGTCCTGTTATCCCCCTTGCTTGCACCCCAGTCAATGGAGGACACGGGTTGCCATGGACAATATGTAAATGAGTAAATGTTCCCATGAGAATTTAGAATTCAAGCTCGATTCCGTGGTTCATGCCTGTAATCCCAGCTACTCAGGAGGCCTGTTGTGTGTTTTTTTTTTTTTTGTTTTGGTACCTGTCTTAGGGTTTGAACTTAAGGCCTAGGTGCTATCACTGAGCTGTTTTTGCTCAAGGCTAGCACTCTACCATAACTTAAGGCACCGCTCCACTTCTGCCTTTTTCTTTTGGTGGTCAATTGGAGAAAAGAGTTTCACAGACTTTCCTGTCTGGGCTGGCTTTGAACTGCAATCCTCAGATCTCAGCCTCCTGAGTGGCTAGGATTATAGGCATGAGCCACTGGTGCCTGGCAGGATTGTGGGTTGGGTTTTTTGGGATTTTTGTTGTTTTTGTTGTTGTTTTGTTTTGGTTGGTCATGGGGCTTAAAAACTCAGGGCCTGGGCGCTGTCCCGGAATTCTTGCTTAAGACTAGCACTCTACCACTTTGAGCCACAGCATCACTTCAGGTTTTCTGGTAGTTAATTGGAGATAAGAGTCTCATAGACTTTCCTGCCTGGGTTGGCTTTGAACCACGATCCTCAGATCTCAGCCTCCTGAGTGAGCCACTGGTGACCCACTGGGATTGTGGTTTTGAAGCCAGCCTGGGTAAAAAGTTATCGGAACCTCATCTCAACAATTAAGCTAGGCCTGGTGGTGTACACCTAGAATCCCAGGAAGAATAGGTAGGAAGATTGCAGACCAGGCCAATTCGCCCAAAACACAAAAGTCTGTCTGAAAATAACTTATATTCTGTTTCTCCTACACTGGCCAAGTTGAAAATAGGAGCTTCCTGAGTGGCTGATTGCGGCTCAAGTGGTAGAATGCCTGCCTAATTATTACTGGCATCTGTCATTTCTTTTCTGCCTTCCACTGTGCCCACGGCAGGCATGCGTGTGAGCTGCTTCCACCAGACACAGCAGGTCCCTCCATGGTCCTTCCCCTTTGTGCTTGCTTCGCATAGTCCCAATCTCTCGCCTCATGTCCTCTCTGGGGCTCTACCTCTGAACATCTCTGGTACCAAAGAGACTCTGAGGACTTTGCCAGGTGTTAAGGATGGAGAACATGGCAGCTCTGATGACAGCCTGGTGTGAGGTGGCTGTGCTAGCCCACAGAGCAGTACCAACTAGCTGTGGCCACCTCGACAAGGCCGGTCCCTGGAGGGGACAGAGCTCCCTGTAAACAAGTATTGCACAATTAAAACTCTTGTTCGGAGGTACATGAATCAAGCCAGGTGCTGGCAACTCTTACCTGTAATCCGAGCTACTTGGGAGGCTGGGAATGGGAGTATCTTCATGTGAGGCCAGGCAGGCACATACTCGAGACCCCATCACAATTGGTAGAACAGGTGGCGAGTTCCTGTCATCCTAGCTATGTGGGAGGTTTGAAGTTCCAGGCCAGCC